TAGATGGACTATCAACTCGAAATCTGAAAGATGAAATGTATCGATATAAGGTTTGAAAGATTGAAAATTATCAATCTAGGACATAATTTGTTATGAATTTTACTATGTTTTTTATTTTAAAATTTTAATGTATTAAGTAGTTTTATTAAACTTATACACTGTTGTGAAGCAAATTTCAAAAAAAAAATAGCAATAGAATTAATAAAAAAAATAAATAAATCAAAACTTATGGAATTTTATATCCTAGATTGATAATTTTCACTCATTCGGGCTATACATAGATACATTTCATCTTTTAGGTTCCGGTTGATAATTCATTTATCTTTCACCTTTCAGGTTCTAGATTGATAAAATTCCTAAATTCATTGCACTATAAGTTATGGGTCAACAGCCACAGAAATTTTCCTAAGTGGGGCAGTGCGGCATATATAGACGGGAATAGATTGAATCAAGTCGGGTAGTGTATCACTGGTCTATTCTCTCTAGTCCGCCGATCAAATTATCATTTTTAACTGGAAATAATTTATTTAATGCTGCTATCAAGCGATGGACATTTATGAGTTATTCGTTTAGTTTTGAACCCATTAAGACAATTCTAATCAATACTATTTGTCTTTCTCAAAGAAAGACATAACTCAGATTAGGAATGAATCACACTTAGCTTGCAGCATTTCTGATTTTACATTAGAATTCTCGCTATTTTTATACCATAAAATGGTTAGACCTTTAGTATTGAACTATCATGTCGAATGCTACACATCGTGCTACAACAAATTGTTGATACTAGTTTAAAATATAATACTACTGTGTAAAAAAATGAAGTAAAATTCATGTTTGTTATTTCATCTTTGAATACAACTTTATTCAACTCATATCATATTACAGTACAAAAATCAAATGGTCTGTCGGTCTGACAATAATTTTATCATTAGGAAACACGATTTTATCATACGTACTCCGTCCTAAAGTACTCATACTAATATTCGGGATGAGAAGCGGACACTTACCCACAGACCCTCGGTTCCACCATTGTCAACAACTTTTATCCAACTTAAAACAAATATTTTAAAATTTTAAAATAATTTTGAAGTTAAATTCGTTGTTCCAAACGTTGCCTAATTTTACTCGGTAAAATCTCCACTCGACTATTTTTTACTCCGTAAATTTTACTAGTCAACAATTATTGTTTTTTGAAGAAGTCAACAAGTAATTGAATAATCTTGCTGTAACTAATTAATCATCATAGCTAGTAGGGAGTAAATGCTCACATTTCCTTTATACCAATTATAGCAAATACGGAGTACTTCGTAAATGGAAGTACCAAAGTAATTAAAGGGTATCCATTAATTCATTAATGATTAATCACTGCTCTTTTTAAAAAAACTGTAGATCTTTATAGGATAGGAATTCATGATCAATCACTCTCACACTTGGTGCTTCCAAATTAGTAATACTGTAATAAACGTAAACTATGTTTGACTTTTAGCGATTAATGGTTAGCGGATAAAGGAATTATGTTATTATAATAGTTTATCAATACCGGATTCAGTCACCGAATTTGACTAGCAGAATAAGTTGGCGGGTTGTCATAATATGTTTGGGAATTTAGATGTTTGGCCATAAAATGAGTATAAAACGTCATATTTCAAAATGCTAACCCAAAACTCTTCCTGAAAGGTCTCAAATGGCCTCGGCCTGACAGTGGTTCTCGTCAGGGCGGCCTGATAGGATCTGCCCTGTTCAAGAATACGGAGTATATAGCTAACGTATAAGCTAAACTAAACTGTTTTAGTCTATTTTCTTTATAAATTATAATTAGTCACGGTTAATTATTGGATAAAAACAGCTGTGCAAGTAATAATCAAGGGGAAAATATTTCAATATCTCATGAAGTATAACGAATAAAAATTACTATGAATCCATTTGATATACCTTCATTTTCAACTTTTTAACCAAACACGTTGAATTATATAATAATTAAAATAAGTAAGATTGAAATAATATTTCTAGCTGAATTGACCGAAGTTACTATAGATGACTATTGTAGCTATTTTTCATATATTTTTTCCACACTCTATTAGTAAAATATATTTTGAATAATTTTTTCATTATAATTGAGCATATTCAACACATTTAAGTGTTATCAGAAATGCTCTATGTGTTTAAAATCTATAAATCCAAAAGGGGCAGTCCCCCATCTATCTAAATCCATACTTAATCCTCGTTATTTTAAGACGGGTATGCGTGGTCTAAATTGTAATCACATTGTTTTTCCTCGAGGTAAGTGTCAGATTGGTACTCGAAGTTGCATAAAGAGGGTCAAATAAGTCCTTATATAGGTGGCTCTGTCCGGCCTTCGCCATTTGGGGCGGTTCCCGGTGGAATTTTTTGAAGAAATTTTTTGAGCATCTTATTCATTAAGTCTAGTTTACTCATACCAAATTTCAGCTAAAAATTCGACCGGAAAGGCATTCAAATGAAATTTTGAAGATAACTGCGCAGTTAAAAGAACATTTATCTTCAAGAATCTATTTGAATGCTTTCCCGATTAAAGTTTTAGCTGAAATTTGGTATGAGTAAACTAGACTTAATGAATAAGATGTTCAAAAAAATTCATCAAAAAATTCCATCGGGAACCGCCTCAAATGGTGACGGCCGGACAATAAGGACTTATTTGACCCTTTTCATGCAACTTCAAGGACCAATCTGACCCTTACCTCGTTTTTCCTCCCAATATCCCCAAACGGACTCTATACTATACATTTAATAATTCATTTTCAAATATGAAGGGGCAGCCCCTCTATCTAAATTCGTCCCACATCCTCCGCTATTTAAGACGGGGTTGCAGGGTCTAATTACCTATAATCACATTGTTTTCCCTCCCTATATCCCCAAACATGCATCATCATATGCAATGGTTTGGCAATGATAATTGTAGTAGCAACAATCACACTTCTAATCAATATGCTGGGATGATCAGTAGACCACAACTCACTGGAAGTAGCATGATTAATGTTTTGTTGGTTGATAAAGATAAGTATTGTCCTCATCCTCACCAATGTGTGCGGTCACTAGTTGAAATGTTCCAACTTTACTCGTACAAAGGTTGGTTTCTCATTTTCTATATTCATTGTTTGTTTTTTAGTTTTTAGTTATACATAGAGTCCAATTTGGTGATGGAAATTATATTTTCACTGTTTTTTTTAATCTATTTGAATGATTGAAAATATCCATTTTGGGTTTAAAATAAATCAATAATGAGTATATAATTTTGGAGAGTACTTTTGAATTCATGGATGTTTAATTAGTAGACATATAAGTAAACACTTAAAATGTTCATTAAGATGAGATAATCTAATAATCAACAAAGTTGATGAAGTTTTTAATTAAAGAGATATATAGTTTACTCGTCTTATGCAGTTACTGTGGAGCCGTCTGCCGCAAAAGCATTGAAAATGCTGGAAAAGGGAAAAGAGACATTCCATTTGGTGATAGCAAACATTGACCCTTTTGACGATCATACTTTCAAACTTCTTCATGCAGCTCCTATTTTAGGCTTTCCTACTTTGGGTAAGTCCTTTCATGCTCTTAATTCATTGTAGCTTTGACGTTTTTAGCAATAAAAATAAAAATTCACCAAAAAATTTGATGAACGCATATTTTTGAAAGTGATCAGTGGAAGTATTTGGGGTGTTATTGTTTTATGAAAGTATTTTTAACATTTTCTTATGTCCTCAACAAAAAAATTCGAGAATTTCGTGAAATTTTAGGTGCTCACAAATAAAAAATTTGTGGACCAGAATCCCATAAAATCTGTGTATCCTGATTTCCGGTTTCCGGTTTACTTTTTTGGGTTCTTTTAAATAAGGGATTCTATGCATTTTATATTTTCACCTTAAGAGAACACTACATTCATGCTTATCAGAATCTACTAATCACTTGAGATGTCCTTATAGATGCTTTTTGAAGATTTGTAAAGTCCTGGATAATGTCCGTTCGTTTTTGGGGACCCTCAAGGTTGGGGTGGTATCCTTTTGTTTTGAACATTTGTAGAGTTTATAGATTTTAATAGAAATTCACTATATATTATTTTATTCCATAAGAAGTCATGTAAATCCATTATCTAAGAGTATGTTTGAGAGTTAGGTTTTGGAGGGAAGGGGAAGAGTGCCTACAGTTTATACCTTTCATTTTTTATTTGGAGGTTTAAAAAGGAAAGAGATAATTTTGGAGCCTACTATAACCTTTTGAAACCCTCACGTGTTCAAATTTTAATTTGACCCAAATTGAGAGTTTTTAAAAGACTTAAAATGAGTACAGTTGCAATTTTATAATCAATTACTTTTTTTAAGCATATTGCATTACATTGCACCTGAAATTGAAGATAAATATTGTTCACTATACATTGATTTTGATTATTATCTTTAGATGTTGTTTAATATGCATATACATTTACACGTGTATATAGTGATAACTGATCACAGGGACTATGATGGAACATTAGCAAGAGTTGCACTTCAAGAAGGTGCTTTTCTCTGCCTCGAGAAGCCCATTTCCGAGGATTCGGTCAAAAATTTGTGGCAACATGTTTTAAGAGAAAGCACTCGGCGGGGGTCCATGCGTGACCATGGAAAAGGAGATTACATTTAACAAATTATACGAGGACGGTGATAATAATAATAATAATAATAATAATAATAATAATAATAATAATAATAATAATAATAATAATAATAATAATAATAATAATAATAATAATAATAATAATAATAATAATAATAATAATAATAATAATAATAATAATAATAATAATAATAATAATAATAATAATAATAATAATAATAATAATAATAATAATAATAATAATAATAATAATAATAATAATAATAATAATAATAATAATAATAATAATAATTGTAATAGTAATAGTAATGGTAGTAGTAATAAAAATAAAAATAAAAATAAAAAGAACAAGAGAAGGCGTGAAGCAGAAAATCGTGGGAACAATAACGTCCGAAAGGGACGAGTTTTATGGACGGAAGAACTCCACAACTTGTTCATGGATACAGTCCTTGAGCTTGGAGAAGGAAGTACGTTTGTTTAATTGTTATAATTGTTCTTATTTAATTAAGATTTATGATTTAATACACACTATTACAAAATTTATAGTCTAATTTGTCAAAATTTGGATCATAGGGTGTTTTCCAAAGGACATAGCGGAGGCCATGAACGTACCAAATCTCACTAGGATGCAAGTCGCCAGCCACCTTCAGGTTAATTTAATACATTGTACAAAAAACATTTGAACTCTTTTTACTTGTTTAAAAAATATTAGGTATTACTATGTAATACTGCTTTGGTTCCGCCATAGTTGTCTCATTTTTTAATTTTTTATATGTCCCACTAAATGTGTCACATACCATATTTGGTAATATTTGTCTGGTTAATTCATTTTTACTTTATTCTCACTTTATCAATTCATTATTAACCACATAACTCTACCTCTCTTAAAAAAACACATAAATTCTCTTTTGTCCCAATCTTAGAAGGACGGATGTAGTAACATTTATCTGTGCTAACTGTATGTGTGTATTGTTAGAGGTTATTAACACTTAGAAATGATATAGATATTTAACTTCCTCTCAAATAAGTGAAACTTTATCGACAACTTATTAAATGATTACTAACACTATTAATTGGTTACTATATCATATAGGATAATAAATTATTATGTTAGATAAATATGTCGAATATATTAACGTGTAGTGCAGTGTATAAGTGGAGTCCTTTAAAAAAATGGAATAAAATGCAAATATTAATGACATACGTAGTATATTGGTGCCTAAATATTACTACGAATTAAAGTAAAGTTTTTCAATCTCTAAGTTAAAAATATAAGAGTTTTAGATTTATTTTTCATTCTTGATGTCAAAACACGTATAAAGATTATATCATACCATATTCTATTTATTCAATTATAGAAAATGGCATGGCTATTATTGATGGTTTATTTCTAAATATTTGTTTGATTCACAATTTTGGTTCATCTTTATATTCTTATTACGTCATACAACACAAAGGCATAAAGGAAAATATTCATAAATATTTTCACACCTCAATTGGACTAGCCTAGAAATGATTATGTATGATGATTTATTATTTAAAATACTCACATTATAGTTTTTCATAAAAAAATATTAAGTAGCAAAAAAATATGAAACTAATTATGAAAACGGGCAGCACAATTACTGAATTTCTATAAATAAAATACTATATTTGAAATCCCAATATATAAGCGTGTACATCATATCATTTACAAAGTAGTCATAACAAATATCACTAAATAATATAAAATTATAAGATGATATTAATTGCTATAGTCTTGAAGTTTTTTAAAAAATATTACTAAAATAAAAATAATTTACAAAAATATGACTAATAGTTACTATTATAATTATTAAGTGTGAACATTAAACATAAGTTACTCTGGCTATAGTTACTGCTATAGTTACTAGTTACTACATTTAAGAGGTCATAATTTTGTAAAAAAAACTTTTATTTTAGTCATAAGCATGTAATTATTTCATTGTCTTAGTCACACAAAAATACTAATGTTGAAATAAACTTTGTTTGTAAGTTTATACTACACTCTAGCTATTTTGATTGTCACTGGTCATTTCATGAAGATTAAAAAAGCAGAAGGAGAAAATAATAAAAGTAAAATATATGATAGAAAGGGAGAAAAGGTAAGAAAGGAAAATGAAAAACTGGAAAAAACATGAAACCGGTTGGGACAACATGAAAAAGTAGAAAAAAGAATGAGAAAGTTCAAATAAAAGTTTTCGAGTATGAAAAGGTGACAAATAATAAAATTAATTGTAAAGAAATATGTGACAAGTAAAAGAGAATAAATAGAGTACTAGTTAGTATATTTATAATAAAAACATATTTGTATTGTGTCACTTACAAGTAAAATTTTGTATCAGGATACAATTTTTATACAATAAGTTAATATATGCTTCTAATGAGATCAATAATTTCATTTCTCGATAAGCTTAGTTCAATTACATATGTAATCCGTGCAACACATGTGCAACACACGGGCAAGACATGGTCGGTTGACTAGTTACAAAAATAATATATATACATGATATGCTACTAAAGTAGGGACGCCATATAATTGGTATACAATAATCTCTCTATCTAGAGATGAATTAATTGTACAATAAATCGTGTAAATTTTTGTATTAATTAATTTGTCTCTTACACTAACCAGATATGTACTTCTAACACATTTATACTACTATATCATACAGAGTGTTCTCAATTTTTATATAAAAAATTATGCATATACTACAAATTATTTATTGGAAAAATTTCATTTCCATAACATTTAGTTATTGATGATGTTTAACATGGTTTTAGAAGTGTCGCCGTAATGATTGGAAAAGTCCCATCGATAAAAAGAAAGCTGGTTCGAAGGGTCAAAGCGATAATAAGAGGCTCACTACTCCTAGGTTTGGGGCAATGCCTTTATGTGAACAAGAGGTTGATGACACTAATTTGGATGTGGGTGGCTTTTTGGTCGATGATTTGTCACAGACTCCCTTTTACAATGAAAAGGTGAACACATTAGGTTATTTATGCTTTGTCCACGTTATTACGTAGTATTAATTGTAATATCAAGGTTTATGATTTGTTTACCTATAATTAAACTGATTATTATCATCATACACATTTGGATATGGCAGATTTGAATGGCTGATAACTACAAAGTTTTTATAGGAGGCGAATCTAACGCGGCAGATTGAGTCATGAAACACCAGGGAAGAAAATTAATGTTCAATTGAAAGGTTACATTGCCTTTAATTTGTGAGATAGGATGTGGTTTCATGTCACATGCAAAAATGGATGTTTTGTGGTACTAAACTATGAATATATACACCCAACTTTGAACCCTACATGCACTTTAATTATTTGGTGTTCCTTGATTTATCTAATCGAAATTTCATGTATTTGGGGGTTTTGTATGTTTCTATTTATACATAGTTTTGATTGGTATATACTAGTTTATAAAGATGGAAAATGCTTCTTATTTAAGGCCATAAGATAAATTAAACCATCAATACAATTCGAGTAAGACCCTAGCTAGCTACATCATTACATTCTATAGATATAAGAAGTAGGTTTTGAGACAAAAAAATAGTATAGTTCAAGCTTAGCCTTCTTGATGTCAGCTTGAACCAGTGGCGGATCCCATCTGTGCAAGGGTGTTCATGTGAACACCCAAAAACATATAAACAATGGTAATATATATGCCTGAACTCGAGTATAAATTTACTCCCTCCGTCCCTTAAAACTTTGCCAAGTTTGACCGGCACGGTGATTAATAAAGTAAAAAATTGTGTGGTTGAGGTTTGTGCAGAGAGAGAGAATTAACTTGAACCACAAATTCTTTACTTAAAAGAGAAAGTGACAGAGTTTTAAGGGATGGATGTAATATTTATTAGTATTTTAAAGAGAAAATGTGTAATTTTGAACATCCAAAATATAAATATCAGGTCCGCCACTGGCTAGAACTCTTCTGAGATAAAATGCTTAGTATGAAGCCCCTATCCATGCTTATCTGACATAACCCGTATTCAATTTAGTGTTAGGAGACTTAGGGGTTGTTTATGTTTTTTTTCTATTAAGTCTTTTCTGAATTAAGGCGTCTGTCTGGTTAAGATGTCTATCTGGATTAAGTAATATTTGTATATGAAGCTGTTTATTTTGTATGATGAATAAAATATCTGAATCAAGTAAAATAAGTATTATTCTTAAATTATAATGTCAATGAAAAACTTCATTGATTAATATAAATCTATTCGCAATCAATTTGAAAAATTGACAGAAATAAACGTCTTAATAGACATTTTAATGACAAGGACTGCTATTCTCCAACTTAATGATTAAGTCAGTTTTTTACTAAATGATTAAGTCATATTTCTGATTACGTCGTTAGTAAACATGACTTAATTGTTGAATGATTAAGTCTTAATTGCTATTTAGTCTATTAAGTCGAAATACACAGCGCCTTAGGTTTATACGATATAAAAGATTGTACCTCGGGTGTGGGAGATGCAGGTTTAAGCTAAGCCCTCTTCAGCTCAAAGTTTTTACATGCAAACGTTTGTGTTGCTTGTGCTTAGAGTTATTTCACTAAATATGAGTAAACTGTTATTTAAATTCATAAATAGCAGTAAGTATATGTTACTTTCTAAATATGACTTTTATTCCAAACTTGCCCTCCGTAATAAAATTAATTGCCCCTTAATTAATTCATAAATAGCTCGTTGGTGGCAGGACAATCCGGTGGTGGTGGGGCATTCCGACAGCCGACCAGATTTACAGCGGCCGATGAGCGGATTTAAATATGGATGAAAAAGATATTATATAAAGTTGAACATGACAAAAATACTCTCATATATAAACTCAAAAATGCCCACAAATTTACCCCTTTCCTTACCTCTCCCGTTTGCAACTCTTCGAGCTGTAGGAAATGCTTTTGCTCACGTATGTAGGAAGAAGAAAGAACTAATGAGGGGAATGCTTTTGCAAGTAGGAAAAATATAGAACTGGCGTAGGTTTTATTTTTTATGTTTTTATTTTTATTTTTTTTGTGCTCAAAGCCTCTTACTTTGACACACACATTTTTCTCCATTAATAAACACAACAATTCCACTTACAAAAGAGTGGTTCAATCCACACCATGAAACCCACTCACCCACTACGTACAACACATGCATGCACAACAAACTAATTGACCAACCCATTCAAATTAGACTAACACTAATGCAACGGCACATACACATCAGTGCTGGTACATCACATGCATAGTGCCATGATGCACACTACTTGGCATAACTCATCCCACCGTGCAATTACACTCTAGTCTAATATGCATCTATGACTCAAAATAAACTAAAATAAACATGATGAAATTCTAAACAACAAGGTTAACTCCAACAATCACCCCCTTAAACTTGTTGTCATTTATTTTGAACTCCTCGCGAACTGTTGAGTATGTGGTTTTGTTGATGACTAACCATGCAGATGGAACGGGGGACAGAACCGACTACGGAGAGTTCTAATATGAACTCTGGACAGAACAGTTCCACGAAACATTCAGTCCCATAATTTAGTATGTGTCTGCATGTGCATGTCTTTCAACGTATGATATTTTACATGCATTAATACCTTTCTATAATTGATTAAATATTTTGTGAAATGTATTGTTACATATGCTTTATGGAAAGTCACTTTATGGAAAGTAATATGAGTGCATTATTGCATGACCATATAATATTATACGTAATTGTGCTTCATAAAAGTAATTGTGCTTTTTACTTTATGACAAGTAATTTTGGGTTGACCATAGCATTAATGAATTAAATATCTTGCCTTATGGAAGATTACCGTAAGTGGCTTTTTCCTTTTGAAATAAATATTTCTTACCATACCAATTACATTGCCTTCCATGATTGAATTATTTGTGTGAGATCTTTGCATATAGTAAGTTACACGTAGCATCATTACTTGCATATCTTTAAGTAATCATTGACCACTTTATTGCTCTCTTGCTATAATAAGAGAATAAATTATTCCTTGCCATATTATTTTTGGAACCGTTGCTGCATAAGATACTCTCCCAAGTTGATGTGCTCTTATGTGTTATTTGAATATCTTGAATATTTTTATTGATATGGTCCGTTGCTTGACTAAAGCATGTTAAGTAAATCAATATTATTTCCTTATATGTTGACTCGTGAATATTGAGCAAATTTACTCATATTTGAGACCGAATAAAGAGAGCTACTCTAAGGAAAGTAATTCAAAATATCAAGGCAAGTCTCAAGATTAGGAGATCAACTATTCAAAGAGGATTACTCAAACGGTCTGCTCAAGACAGCCTATATAAACGAAGCAGCCAAAGAGAATTAAAGTGAGCTTGACCGAGAAAATATCAAGAGAAACACTCAAGAGAAATACCAAGTTCAAGGCGCCAGAAACTGCCCACACGGAGTTCTAGATAGAGTTTTTCCTTTCCCTTTCATATTGTACTTGAAATATTGAGGCTTAATTGGCTAGAGTAGCTGCCTCGGGTTAAGTGTGTGTGAGAGCTTTGTGATAAAGCTGAGAGGCTCTCTACCCGCAAGGTAGAGATGCATAACTCTTCCTAGAGAGGATAGAGTTGGGGAGGCTCAAGGGTAGATTAGGAGAATCACTCTTGTAACTCTTTCAAAGGCTTGTTTAGTGAAGTTGTTTAAAATTCCTCCGAGGGAGGTCGAGGTTTTTTAATCCCTTTGAGCCAAGGGATTTTTCCTCGTTAAATTCTTGTGCACTTTACTATTTTGCAATTCCCTTTATCCCACACTAGAACTCGGCGAAAAACTGCCACGGTTCCACACACACACAATTCACCCCCCCTCTTGCGTTGCTAACCGTTTTCATCAATTGGTATCAGAGCCGGTCTTCACCACATAAAGGCTAATACCTTGGGAAGAGATCCGGCAAAATGAATACGGTTGACCGATTGGAAGAAGGGTACTCGACTCAACGACCACCATTGTTCAATGGCAAATACTATCAATTTTGGAAGAGTCGGATGGAAAACTTTATCAAGGCCGATAACTACCAGGTTTGGAATGTAATTGAAAGTGGTGATAATGTCATCACAAAGAGAAACGCCGAAGGTAATGTTGTTCCTAAACCTAAAGTTGAATATACTTCTGAAGATTATGAGAAACTCGAGCATAATGCCCAAGCCCTTAAATATTTAATTTGTGGTCTTGGTCCTGCCGAACACAATCGGGTTCTAGGATGCAAGACTGCAAAACAAATGTGGGATTTGCTCGAGGTCACTCATGAGGGAACCTCACGTGTAAAAAATCTAAGATTGACATATTCATGCGTAATTACGAATTATTCGTAATGAAGCCAAAAGAGTCAATTAAGGATATGATTACACGCTTTACTAACATTATCAATGAGCTTTCAGCCCTTGGAAGAGAAATTACCGTGGAAGATCAAGTGAGAAAGATTTTGAGAAGCCTGCCCCAAGAGTGGAAGCCTAAGACCACGGCTATTGAAGAAGCAAAGGATCTATCCACCATGACGCTCGAAGACTTGACTGGATCACTCTTGACATATGAACTAGGTCTTCAAGAAGAACAAGATGCCGAGAGTGCTAGACGAGAAAGAGGAATAGCTCTAAAGGCTCGAGAAGAAGAAGAGGAATCCGAGAGTGAATCGGATGATGAGATGAGCATGTTTGCAAAACAATTTGGGAGGATGTACCGAAAATTCAAGAACAACCGTACCAAACAAGGTAAAAGGAATACTCAATCCTTTAATAACCAAGGTTGTTTTGTTTGTGGTTCCTTTGAGCACAGGGCTAAAGACTGTTCACAAAAGAAAAATGACCGGAACTGCGACAAGAACAAGTCAAGTTCCAACCGGAGGTTCAGCGAAGACAAAGGGTTCAAGAGAGATCTCAAAAAGGCCATGATGGCAGCATGGGGAGATTCTTCTGATGATG